GATTTATATCACAATAAATAAACCTAGGTAAGTAATACATAATCACAGTATTAAATATTTTGCGACATGACACATTTTGAATTCTAACACGTATGTTATTTTCTGCAAACTTGCCGGTTAGTGCTCAGGTTTGGGATGTAATGGTAATTATTGGTGAAAAGCCACTTGCTAACTTCCACCAGACTGACCACGCCCATTCTTTTGTTTGGAAAAGCATGGCATTTGACTTTAGTATTTTCCAGGTCTGGAAATGTAAGGAAAAGAGAAATCAGAGTATGGAAAAGTATTTGTGTTTCCAGACTTTTGCTCCTATTTAGTTTTTTTTTTTTATATATAATAGAAAATTAAGAATTTAGTGAAAATAAGTCTATTGTACGAGACGTCAAAGTCAAAATATGACAATTAATTGAAGGTGCACTTTTTAATTATGCAAAATGCAGGTTATAAGCATTTTAAGGGTTTCTTCTCACAATATTCTTAGCACTGTATTACATAGCCTCAAGGACCTTTGCAAAAATAAAATATATACAGACTTGGCGTATAGGACAACGCACGCTGAGCCACCTTTTGTGCCATCAGCCCATTTCACGGTGTTCTTTCTTGGCCTCTGCAGACTAAGCATTAAAGAGACCGAAGACCTTGAAATATGGCATGCTGCCTTAACTAAAGCCAAATATTAAACACTTTTTTTTTACAGTACCAGTCTTTTTTATAGACCCTTGAACTTGACAAATTTTCTGCCATCAGCCCATTGTGTGTCATGGTTTCTGTGCCGCAGAGGATGTGTTAAATTGGACATTATGCCTTGATATTAGAGGTACTACTGTAAGAAAAGCCAAATTTTGAGCAAGTAGATCCATGCTCTCGTTTTATTCATAGTAAGATGGCAGTGATGCACAAAGAAAAAATAGGTATATAAAACTAGAAACTAATGTGTAAGCATGCAAAAACTTCCCATGCAAAAAAAAAAAAGTTTCTTGTGTGCATTTTTTTATTAGGGGCTCTGTATGCTAATGGCACTTAGTGAAAATCAATTTGAAAAAATCTGACAGATGACTACTATATACCAAATATAAAGCTGAAAATAATGCTATATGAACCGTTTATGTTAAATATGGTCTGAAAATGGAAAGGTATGGAATTTTGGAATGTAAAATGTGTTTAACCTTTCAAATGCGTCATTAGAAATGTCTACATATTTATAAAACTGATCCGAGATTAGGTATTACAAAAAAGACACAGACACTGGTTGATGAGTTCACATAGATCAAGCAAAACTAAAGTCTCATCGGCCTCTAGTGGCAAACCACTGATTTATTTATTTATTTTTTAGATTAAGAATGCAAAAGAGTTCAATACTAATATATAACGAGAACCTTTGATTTAATCACCAAAACACAACAGTATGATCTTTCAGTTTAGTACTTTTAACAATCAGTTCATTGGAGAGCATCCATAACTACTGAAGAATGATTGACCTCCTGTAACACGCACAGGTGTGATTTCTTACCTGTCTGTCAATGGAGATTTAATGTGTGATATTCTATTAAAACTCGCCTAACGAGTCCAGATACATCCAATCAAGGGTGTAGGTTAGATTCTGGCATTGGTGTGGACATAACAGACATTTAATTGCTCGATTAAAATTATTGCTAAGGAATAATTTAGTAGGTGCTGGATCATGTCATAGCGTCTCTACTAAACTACACCTTTGCACCCATGAATAATTAAGATACAATGTCCAGATGGGGAAGCTTACTTTGGAAATGTGACAGGTAACAGATTCAGTTACTTTTTTTAAGTAATGTAACTGATTACATTTGATTACTTTTCTAAATTTCTAATGTTTTCAGTCATTACTCAGCACTGCCATTTTTCAATCTGGGAAAAATAAAGCATATACATAAACCCAAATTGGAAATAAAACAGTTATTGAATAAACACGTGTCCTAAACTCCTGAAACATTGCCGTCTC